TCCACAAAGAGGGCCCGTGCATAGGTCCCTGGGGAGTCGAGGTGTTGCAGGATGTAATGCAGTACTGCATCGTTCACTGACCTGTTTGCCCAGTAGGCGAACTGCAGGGGGTCCAGCAGGGGGTCTACGATGTCCTTCAGGTGGGCCAATACCAGTCTTTCAAAGGTCTTCATAACTACAGATGTCAGGGCAACAGGTCTGTAGTCATTCAGTCCACTGATGGAGGTTTTCTTGGGGACTGGAATGATGATTGAGCAGGAGGGGACTTCACACAGCTCCAGTGACCTGTTGAAGATAAGTGTGAAGATGGGGCCCAGCTGATCAATGCACACTTTCAGGCAGGAGGGGGGGGTCACACCATCTGGGCATCAAAGCATCAGTTTTGATACTGTGAAACCCGGATGCCGCTGGTATCACTTTGTATTTTTCTTGCATATGAATGAAAGGGTTGAAGAGCTGAATTATAAAAGAAATTTGATTATTTTTTCATTTTTAAGTGTTATACTACTGAACTGGAAATGACCCAGACCCAGAAAAATGACACAGACAGCAGTAAACATGAGCATTCTCCAGGAAGTGTTTGTTAGTGTGAGAGGTCAGCCAGTATGCACAAGGTGGTTATTATTCATGTCTTCTATGATGTCAGGTACCCCACACTGTATTTATTTATTTATCTTTAATTCAATTGACTTATAAGAATCTGTCATGCATGGGTCAGTGTGGTCAATTATTTTTGCCTAAATACAATTTACGAATCCCAAAATATTGTTGTTAACTTGAAGTTACTCTCAGGAGCTTGTACATCAGTTAAACTGTATTTATATGTTACACCTTTCATATAAGTCAAATGCAATTCTAAGTGCTTCACAAGACATTGATATCACACAGCATGGTATAAAAGGACTGAACATCATAATCTGAAATCTTAAAGTCAGATCAGTTTGCTGTAATTTCAGAATTAGCTTATTCATTTTCACAATGCTTTTATCCCTTCAAACTGCACAGTTGGCGCATGTGAGTGTTGTTGCATGTGCTCACATACATGCAGCCAACTGACTGTGCTTTTTTTCTATTTGAATCTTATCCAGAGGCTTCAGCACATGCAACTCATATCATCTCAGCCATCAGTGAGGTGCAATCAGTCCCAGCTCCTTGTGACACAGAGGCAGCACCAGCCAAAGGTAACTTCTTCTACACTGTAGCTTTGGTGGCTTACAATAAAAGTAGAAATTCATCATTTGGTTCAAATTAATTGAATGATTGATTGGTTGACTTGTAAGTAAAGTACCAATACTTGCATTCCTCTACCTGCATTTCCACTGGAGGAGCCAGGGTCTAAATTTAGTTCTGTGGTGTAGTTCTACCCCCCAAAAAGTACCTAATGAGGGAGTAGTACTTTCTGAAGGTCCAGGAACTATCAGGGCGAGGCCTACATTGCTGAAAGTTGCTGATTGGTCAAACAGGCTACAGAAATCTATGGTGTGAGCATTTCACTCATGTATGCAAGTAGAAATCTGTGTGTGAAAAATGATTTGGATGCCCTGATGCAACTGAGTTACTAGGGTTCTTAATTTGTAAAGAGCATTTTATCATTAGGCTTGTACAAAGAGAACAGCGAGTGAGATTAGTGGATTGGAAAATACAGTTTTGGTGTTTACGAAGTGGCTTCTCCTGGTGTTTGACCGAGGGCGGAGCTCAGGTCCTCCACACAGAGCGCAGCAGGCAGAGGCTGTGGAGGAGAGCATGACACTGGCTGAAGTGAACCATTACTCTGAATGAACCATCTTTGTGCTTGTAACTGTACATGCAATAAAACGTTGGTGATTAAAAAACATACAAAATAAAAACACCTGTTAAATGAGCATAAACTTGCAGAAAAGGGATTCTGTCCTCCACCGCTGGTAGTTTGTGTTAACTATAGGGAGCATTTTACATGCAGCATTCTTATGACCCATACCGACTGTCGTGGTTTTACATCAGCAGGCTAATTTGTTTAATCTTCCCCGGGCTTCCATCCTGATGTGCAAATGCAAATCACGATGTGCTTGAGGATCTTTTACCCCAGGGACAGTTCTTGGACTTTAGTACCAGGGACTTCCTAGTGGAAACGCACCTAAAGGTTGATTGCATCTCTGTATGTGTGTGTGCCTTTTTTTTTTTATTATTTAAACAGAGGAACAGTGCAAAGACTGTAATGAACATAAGGATACCCCAGTGACAGAAGCACTGAAAGAACGCCCAGTAGAAGAAGTGGCAGCCAGACTCGCTCAACAAGACCAAGAGGAAAAGAACACTGTGGCATGTAGGCTGGCAACAACACACACATACACACACACACA